CCATCGGCAGGGGACACGACTCTTGGAGCCTAAAAACAAGTGGCTCACGTGCAGACCAGGACAGTCTGCCTTCAGCTCATTCCTGTTAGCAAAGAGTCACCTTTCATTTCACCTGCTACAGAGGCACCATCTCTCTTCCCAAAGACAGGGATATGAAAAGTTTCTCCTTCAACAAAAGAACAGAGAACTCAATTTTTTTTTAATCCTGGTTGCCACATACAATTTGAAGGACGTAGGACTACCTGACACTGAGGCCAGGTTCCTCGTGACACTGTTACAAAGCATCTGAAGAGGCTTCACAGCCAGAAAGTACCCCTTCGGGAAAGGCCTCTCGGCTGGCGGTGCTCCGGGTCACACAACCCCAGGGAACACCGCTTCCGCTTCAATCCTCTGCTCTGTGTCCACAGACCACAGTGCGACTGGCATTCCTGGAAGTGGCCACTCTGAACGACAAGCCTTCCCCAGCCCATTCCTAACATAATGCTACCGAAACACACACTGATGCTGAAGTATTTATGGGTGAAATATGGGAACTGGGATAGGCCTGAAAATACTCCAGAAAAATAAGTTGGGGAAAGGATTAAATAAGAATGGTGGAATTTTAATAATTGCTGAAGCTGGGCAATGGATATATGAGGGTTCATTATATTATTTTCTGTACTTTTGTATTTGAAAAAGTTCCACAGTATAAACACACACACACCCCCCTCCATGGCATGATTTACATACGAGTTTAAACAGAATCACCTGAAGCGGGGAGGGGGTGCTTTTAGCGTGTATGAGGTCCTAGGTTCAATCCCCAGTACCTTCATTAAAACATAAATAAATAAAACACAGATAAATTTAAAACCTAAAAATAAATAAACCTAATTACCTCCCCTCCAAAGAAAGAATCACCAGAGAAACCTAAGAAAACTCTGATGCTATAAATTGATGTTATCAAGAAAGTGGGAAAACCGAGCCTGGATCTGATTGAAGAGACCACGCTGAGACCTCAGGACCTCACGGCTCTGGCAGGGCCTATCAGCGGGCTGGTCCCAGGGCAGTATGCAGAGACTGAATAAATTAGCCCTAATTGATTTTTCATGAGTTTGGAGGAAACATGTGCAATTGCCAGAGGCAAAAATCAGATTAAGAAATACCAGTCTATTTCAACCCTCACAAGAATCAAAAGCAACCTCGTAGAACAGAGACAGAATCAAAGTCCACAGGTCTGCACCCCGCAACAGAAACTACTAAACCACAGATCACGCGAGTCGTTTCCAGCCCCTCGGGGGCTCGTGCCTCGCCCGCCCGTCCGCAGAGGAGCAGGCCTGCAGAGCCTCATCTGGGCGCGTGCGGGCTGCTCCAGCCCTCCCCTGGGGGGGAAGTGCAGGAGACACCACCGAGCAGCCCTTCCACGGAGGGTCTCTGCTGCTTCGCCAAGACAGCGTGCCCTGCCCCCGATCCCCTCTGCCACACACGTGCCACCTGGGACGAGCAGGACGTACGTGTTTCTGTATTCACGAACGGCCCTGACAGTTAGGAAGGGAGCCAAGTGAAGGGGACACGGACGGACGGACGGACGGACGGACGGACACACACACACACACACACACACACACACACACACACACACACACACGACGGACAACCTAA